AATATGAAAACTAAAGGAATCAGCGAATATGCTGAGCCACAAAAATCCCTTAAGCTGGCCAAGCATAGAAATGAATACAAAATGGGAACCAGTAATACAGAGAGCTAGAGAAAAACAAAAATAACAACAAATTGTAATATGAGATCTGGTAAAAAATGGTTACTGAGACATTACATTTATAAGTCCCAAAAATTCATATACTAAGAATACATAACCCAGTGGATAAAAGCATTGGCTGACCCTAAGAGTTGTGAGTTCAATATCTATCCAGAAATGGCATGTGGAACAAGAACAAAATTCCAACGTATATCACCAGAAGAAGGCTGGAACGTACAATGGCTGAAACACCATGAATATGACAGTAAAGATGCGGACAACAGTTCAAACAATGTAAATAGTGTAAATAATTACAATACCTCATCTCAGAAATATAGACAAATTAATTAGTCTTAATTTCTGTGGATATGTCATTACACATGTGGGGTTAACCCACCTTGTCAGCCTGCTAGGTGGTGTTGCTTAAAGCAGTATACAAGGGAAGGACTCAAACACTCTTCCACTTTTTTTCACACTTTATCCACAAGATAAAAGTGACAAGACATGTCTTGTTTCCCTGTAATTAATCAATTTTTACTCAACCAAACTATTTGGTGCATCACACACACATTATCTGCTCTTCAGAAAAAATCTTGTGTGTGATCACAATGATAACTAATCCTATAAATATATATTTCTCTCTTTTTCAGAGCTATATGGTCCAGTATATAAATATATGTAACATTAATGCATATGTTGAATTCACTTATTTTGAAAATGTTGGCATTCAACCAATCATTTTTACAATTGGTACCCACCTTTCATTGAATACACTGTTTTATTTAAACATCTTCACCATGGTGGTTGTACGCCCTGATATTTTCAGGTGTCTGACATGTTCACTAATTTTTTCCAAATTTCAAGCTGAACCCTTTATTCAATTTATGGGGGGAAAATCTTCCCACTTTGCTTTTCATGATTCAGGATATCTGATATTAGTTAAGTTTCTTGCAGTTAAGATCTCCTTGTAATGTGTGAGGTGACTTTTTCTCCTTCCATTGAAGGAGGGTGAATTTCAATACCTGACCTAGAGGAGGAGGACACCTGTTCAAATAAATCAATGTCTATTAACGATTCATGTTATTTGAAAAGGTTTTTGTGAGGGTCTTACCTTCAGGGCTTCAGAAGAAACCCTAAAGAGGATTTTATTGAAAGAAAATAGACCAGATGTTGTTTTCTTTCTTTAATCAATTTGTACAAAATAAAGTGCAAAAAAGAAAAAAAGGAAGATGTGATTATTTCCCAAATAATGACACCACCATCATTGATAAAGAAACAAAAGAATGCCTCCTAATTGATGTGGCTGTTGATGACCATAACACCATGTTCAAAGGAATTGACAAGCTTAAGAAATACACAGACCACATTGAAATTGCCAGAATCTGGAACATTCAGGCCACTATTATCCCAGTTATCATTGAGGCATTAAGGTCTATACCACCAGACATAAAGATCTACATTGAGAAAATCAGAATAAAGCTGAATTTCACATCATTTAAGAAGCCTGCATTGCCTGGCACTGTAAAAGGTGCTCTTTGTTTGAGTTTGTACAACCTGATGAAGAGCATCCATAATGCAAAATCTACATTTGAAACAAAAACCATGTGAAAGGAATAATAATATCCACAATGACCTTATGAAAGAACTAAAAAACTTGATGAATATAGAGATGACTGCTGTGCCTGTCATTATCAGAGTACTTGGAAGATGAAAATGAGTGTTACAAAAAAGAATTTGAAAATAAAGGAAACAATAAAACTACTCAAAAAACAGCAATGCTAAAAATCACTTTCAATGTTAAGAGACTTGCTGTCACTTTATTAAACACAATTAAACAGGTACTGTAATTAAGCCTTTTCTTTAATTTTTCTTTTGTTTATATAAATGTATTCTTTTATAGACATAAAGTATATAAAAATTATCCAAATATTATGTCTAGCCAAATGATTTTGGGTATTCTGTTAACCATTATTAAGGATCTTTTTTATTTTTAACTGAATATGTAGATTTTTTTTAGAGTGGTGAGGATATTTATTGATTTTCCAAACATGGTCACCACATTGTGGCTATGTTTATAGTTATTGTTATTCAGTGTTGACATTTTCTTTTTTATTATTACTTCCATTATTTTTAGGCTTTTTTTACATGTGGATGAGACTGTTATATATGTATTTTCTACAAATATGTTTCAGATGAAGTTTGGTAGTTTTCCATGTAGATTTAGATGAGCCTATTTCAAAACAAAGTGAGAATTACAGAAACACACTCAACAGATCCATATTTTATCACAGAGATTAGAGAACTGGAACAAGAAGAAGCCTATAAATATCTAGGAGTCAGTGAAGGAGATGGAATAGAATATAACCAAATGAAGGAGAAAATAAGAAAGAAGTACTACCAGCCAGTGTGTCTGGTGTTAAATAACAGAGTTGAATTCACAAAACAGAATATGAACCATAAACACCTTGGCTGTTCCTGTGATGCAATACAATTTCAACATCCTTAGCTGGATCATAGCTGACATTAACCAAATCCTAAGGCTGTTGTTGTTTGTCTGTATGTATCCATATCCAAAGAGGTAGAGGATTAGTTCAACTAGAACTATCCTACTAAACTACAACAATTGGTCTTCAAAGATACGTAGAAACTATAGAAGATAGATGATGATTTGTGTCAAAGAGCATGAAAGAAATAAGAACCTATATTCAGTAATAAATGAAGCCAACAAATTCAAAATGGAGTTTCATGTGGGTGAAGAAGTGCAAGTAAAACATAAATCAGTAAAGAGTCTAAAAAAGCAAAAGCAAATGCAATGGACCAAATACAGAAATGATGGCAAGATAAACCTCTTCATGGTCAATATTTTAGTACAGGGTTTAAAAGCTGAAACTGAACGTTTTATTCTTGCTTCACAGGACTAATGCTTGCTAACTAGAAATTACCAAGCACACATACGGGAAAACTGTGTAAACCCCAAATGCAGATTCTGTGATAAATATTCAGAAATTGAAACATTAGGTTGCATGGTATTAGTACCCACTGAATATAAAATTTGGCATGAGAAGAATGGACCAATATTTGCACTGGAAAATATGCAACTTTTATGAGAAGGAAACAGTAAGAAACTAGTATGAACATGGTTACAGAGATAGCATCTGTAACAATTTTATGGGATTTTAAACAAACTTAATCACACAGACATCATGATCAAAGATCACAAAAACAGAATGTGCTTTCTTATTGATATGGGAGTTCCTGCAAACTGTAATGTATCTTTAAAGATCTTAAAAATTCTATCAAAATACAATGATCTTGAAGTAGAAATCTAAAAAATGTGGCACATGAGGACATCAATAATTCCAGTTGTAGTTGGAGTACTTGGACTGATTGGAAAAGGCTCTGATCTCTGGTGGCCCATGCCTTAAAGAAATACAAATTATTTTGTCTATATTTCTGAGATGATATATCACATACATTATTTACATTATTCAGACTATTGTCCTCATCTTTGTCGCCATATTTATTACAACATTGTATGCTCTGGCCTTCTTCAGGTGGTTGGAATGTCGAATTTAACCCTTTATTTCGCTCACTATTTCTAGTTCCACATGCCATGTTTAATGGATGTCAGTTATCAGTTATCTCCTGTTAATTTCCCTCTGAAAGTTCTCCACTACCTTAACCAGGTATTGAACTCACAATCTTTGGGTCCTGTCACTGAATCTAATCAATACGTTTATCCACTGTGCCATGTGTCCTTTTTTTTTCTTTTTTCTCATTTTTTGAACAAAATATTCATGGTGTCCTTTCTGACCTTAGGTCTCTGGTTCAGACCCAGAAGGAAATGAGTATAAAACAGAAATCAAAAAAAATAATAAAAATATTAATATCACCAACAACTTTATGAAAGGAGTGAAAAAGTTGTTGAATATGAAGATGAGTGTTGTGTCAGTCATTATCAGAGTACTTGGAAGATGCAAATGAGCTTTGCAAAGAGGAACTAGAAAATGAAGGTAGAAATAAAACTACTTAAAGAACAGCATTACTAAAATCAGCTTCAATAATAATAATAATAATAATAATAATAATAATAATGGAGTTGAGTGACTTCATTCTGGAATTTTCTAGGAAAATTGATGCAAATAGACGAGACATAATCATTAAAAGATTTCGAAAAATGAACCTTCCAACTATTTGATATGACTTGTACACAGGATTCTGATGTTTCTAAAAAGGAATTCCAAGAACTGTCAAATTATAAGGAACTACAAATTGAAATAACAAAAATATGTCAAATTAAAACTATGATTATCCCTGTTGTGATAGTGTCATTGAGTATTATAAAGAATTCTACTAAAAATCATGTGAGTGAAATTCTTGGACATATCAGAATCTCAGAGTTGCAAAAGATTACTCTGTGCAGAATTGCACATATCATCCACAAAACCCTCTAAATCTAAACAAAGAGTCCCATATGAGTATAGATAACTCCTCTACAGTTCCTTTTTTACTCCTAGAGTCTGAAAGGGACTTGGTAATTAGGCACTCAAAATTACTCTCTGCCAAGATGATATCACATACAATAATAATAATAGTAATAATAATAATAATAATAATCTGGATTTGGTTAAAGAGCTGCAGAAGATAGGGAACATAACTGTTGAAGTAATTAAGGGATACAAATGGAACACTATCCAGAAACTTGAAAGAGAACTTAGGAAAAATTGGAATTGGGATCAACATTGTACACCTCCAAGAAACTGCTATCCTTAATTGTGCAAGGATTCTCTGAAATGATCTTCAGGTATGATGAGTCACTGAAACCGTACATAAAGAACAGTATTTGTATTGACACCAACATTATTATTATTTCAACTCCGACACATTTTAGAACACCTGTGTAGATGAGGAATTTTTCTAGTGGTCCATTTTATTTACACCCTGAAATCTGTTAGCACAGCTACATATAAAATCTGATAGGTCCTTTTTCCTTGTTTATAATAATCAAATCAAGTTTTCTTACTTTGGTGAGGTGGGGCCTGTCTGGAGCTCAAGATAAAACAGTTACTTATCTTTTCGTAATTTTTGTAGTTTTCTCTCTCATGCTACATTCTTTCGATTATTGTCTCGCTCTTACCCTCCTTTCTCATTCTTCTCTCATTACATTCAACTAATTATCCTTTCTTTACCATTCTTCTCTCTTTATATTACATTTAGATTCTCACTTTTCAATTTCTCCCTCATTCTTCTCTCCTTACATTCCACTTAATTTCCATTCTTTCTCATTCTTTTCTCTCTACATTCCAATTATTTTCATCTCTCTCATTCTTCTCTCTGTACTTTCTATATATTTTCCCTTCTCTCTCATTATTCTCCCTTTACATTCCACTTATTTCCTCTCTCTCTCTCTCTCTCACTCTCATTCTTCTCTAGTTAAATTCCATCTATTTTCCTTTCTTTCTCTCTCATTCTTCTCTCTTTACATTCCACTTATTTTCTTCTCTCTCTCATTCTTCTCACTTTATTTTCCACTTATTTTCCTCTCCCTTTCTCATTCTTCTCTCTCTACATTCCACTTATTTTTCCTCCTCTCCCATTCTTCTCTCTTTATATCCCACCTACTTTTCATTCTCTCTCATTATTCTCTCTTTATATTCCAATTATTTTCCTCTCTCTCTCATTCTTCCATGAATACATTCCACTTATTTTCTTCTCTCTCTCTTGCTCTCATTCTTCTCTGTTTACATTCCACCTATTTTCCTCTCTCTCTCTCTCTATCTCTCTCTCTCTCTCATTCTTCCATGAATACATTCCACTTATTTTCTTCTCTCTCTCTTGCTCTCATTCTTCTCCCTTGACTTTCCACCTATCTTCTCTCCTCTCTCATTCTTCTCTCTTAACATTCCATTTATTTTCCTTTCTCTCTCATTCTTCTGTCTTTACATTCAACTTATTTTCCTCTCTCTTTCTCTCATTCTTCTCTCTTAACATTTCACATTTTCCCTTCTCTCCCATTCTTCTCTCTTTACATTCCACCTACTTTCCATTCTCTCTCATTATTCCCACTTTACATTCCATTTATTTCTCTCTCTCTCTCTCTCTCTCTCTCTCTCTCTCTCTCTCTCTCTCACTCTCATTCTCATTCTTCTCTAGTTACATTCCACTTATTTTTCTCTCTCTTACATATAACTTATTTTCTCACATTTCTTCTTAATTCTCAGTCTTCTCTCTTTACTCTCCACATGTTCCTTTCTCTCTCATTCTTCCCTGGTTGCATTACATTTATATTCTCACTTCTCTCCTCTCTCATTCTTCTCTCTTTACATTCAATTTATTTTCCCTTCTCTACCATTTTTCTCTCTTCATATTCCACTTAATTTCTCACATCTCTCTTTCTCTCTTATTGCTCTCTCTGTATTTTCTTTTTCTTTCAACCATTTTTCTATTTTTCCTTTTATTCTCCCACATTTTCTTCCTATTTTTTGTGTCTTCAGTTTATTTTTTACTCTTTTTTTCTTTCAAAATGGTTTTTCGTTCGTTGTCCATTATTTTCCTTCTGCATTCATTTTCTTTCCTTTTCTGCGTATGAAAAATAACAGAATTTTTTTTTTGCAACGATCACAGTAAAACAATAATAATAAAAAATTATGAAGAAATAATAAAAATAATAACAAAAAATAATCCAACAGCCAGTTCCATTCTTCCAAAACGACAAACACTATTTCCTCTTGGCTAAAGATAACTCACTATTCAACTCCCCGATTCATGCCAATCTGCAATGTTTCACCCAATCTCAAGTGATTGTCGATATGGCATTTGGCCGGAAACAAACAGCATCAACACATATACGGGTGAATATATTTCCCCACAAAATGATAAAGAAAAACATCCCCAAAATGAAATCCTCTTTCTTACCCTCATTCAACAAAACGCTGCTGGTACAACTCAGAAAATTTATAATTCATTATCTACAGAGTTTGTGTATTTAAGAATGTTATTGTGTTCAGCCATAATATATTCAGCTGATATTTAACCTTCAAGTAGGGAAACAAAAAATATAAACTTGTTCGTTTGCTGAAAGTATTTCAAAATGTCATTTTTTATTCTTTTCCAAAGATTGTTCAAGCTTTTTAGCCAATAAAGACTGCATAAAATGCACTCTTCATGGATTTATCAATTCAAAAAAATGTAAACAGATGTTTAAAAAAAATGTAGATTGGTAAACACTGCAATGTGGCAGAGAAATAAATATGAAAGACATTCCAGAAGCTTTGAGACTTTTTCAGGAGAGACATTTATTAATTTCAAAGGAAATTTCATGAAAATTTTGTTAGAAACAAAGAAAAGAGTACTGAAGTGTTATATAATATCAGTCAAAAGTCCTCAAGTGATATGGTTTCTATTATTTCTTTGTTCATGCTTCTGTTGGGCACAAGGTTCAAAGAAGTTTGGCTTTCACCAAGAGACATCAGATTCATTCACTCAAAGCTATTTTTAACCATTAATCTTAGAACATGGTTGTAGACAGCTGACAGTTTAGATATTTCTGAACAGGTTTGGTGATACATTCATGACATCCTTATGAAAGACTCAATCTGCTGAGTCTATGACTTGAGGTTTCAGGTTAATGTTTTGGTTTCACAGCAACTTGCGGTATTAGGGCAAAACTACCTCTAGAGCAGCTTATTCTATGTTCAATTCCCTTTTCTCCTTTACTAATTTTGTTATAACTGATCCATATACCAAGGTATTTGAAAGTAGTTTTTATGATGGATTCAGTGTACATGCCATCACTACTCCCAATTCTTGATCATAGTTTCTGTTTTGGAAAGGTTTGTCTTGAGTTTTATTTCTTGGAATAACTTGATAGAATATGTTCATTTTTTTTGTTCAAAATCATTCTTCTTCTAACTATGAATACTTATGTCATCAGCATAGCTCCCCTCATCATCAGTACATTGGAAGGGGAAGCTGAATCATTGTCATCTAATGGTAGACTTGTTTGGGATGTGGCATGAAAACAAATCAACAATTCGCCCTTGCATGGAGTATTGCTGCCATATATGGTCTGGTGCCCCTTCTGTTTGCCTTGGGGTTCTTGATAGGCTCCAGAGGCGGATATGCAATATCTGATCTGGCATCTCGTCTACAGTCACTTTCTCACAGACGTGCCGTCGCCTCTCTCTGTCTGTTTTACAAATACTTTCATGGCAATTGCTCCGAGGAGCTGCATTCGCTGGTTCCCAGACTTCATGAGTTCAAGTGCCCTACGAGGCTGGCATCCCACTCTCACCCTTTCACTGTCGAAACTCCTAAATGTAGCCATCTCTTCTACTCCAATAGCTTCATGTCTCACACCTCTCACCTGTGGAACTCCCTTCCCTATTCCAGTTTCCCTGAGAGCTATAATCTCCAGCTATTCAAATGTAATGTCAATTGACATCTGCAGTTGCCTTGATCTATCCACTATCCTTCTCCTCATCCTTTCTTCTATCACTCCTATTTGATCTTGCTCCAAATTTTCTGTAACCCCTTGCGTCCTAGTGGCTTCCCGCCTTGCTTGGGGTGAAACGCTTAAAAAAAAAAAAAACAAGACTGGGAGAGAGTAAATCTTTAAATCTCAAAACTATTAAATAAACATCGGTTAAATAATATGAAAAACTGTCTTCTCTAGCCATGGCTTGCAAATTGGTCTATGAGAAAGACAATTGGTGAGATGCATATTGCATAGACTTTGAAAAGAATATGTAATTAATTATATTAATCATAATTACCATAGTTTTGCAGAACTCTATGATCTCAGCTTAGGTTGATTAAAAAAAACATGCATTACTAAACCAATACATAATTCACAGCAAACTATTTTTGATGTCAAGGTTCATAAATCTTCACTTGGGAGCATGAGAATTCTAAATTTGATTCCAAAATATTTAGGGTTGAATTCCTGAATTGTCATAAAATGTCTGACAGGACTTGTTTTATTTAAATGCCTTAAACGTGATGTGTAAATAAAAATTTGATGAAGATCTCGAAATATACCTTGTACTTAAGAGCTTTTCTTACTGAAGAAGTATATGTAAGTCAGTGTG